CCGGTAAATAATATTCAACAACAAAACACACTATCCTTACACACAGGGGATCGCAAGGAACCAACCTTAGCTGGTAATGAAAATGCTGAATTGTCCTTACTTGACAAAGGCATCAACACCGAAACATTCTTACCTGACAGAATGAGTGAAACTGCGACATTCTTACCTGAAAGAGTGAAAGAAGCAGCAACATACTTACCTGAAAAAACGAAAAAAAAACGAAGTATACTTACCTGACGTAGAAACGGGGGATGAAACTAACACAAACCTACCTCAATTGGATGGTGTCCTAAAGTCGCAGCAACGTGATGTAAGTTTTGAACCCATCATACACGATCAGACACATACATCTGAAAAGACCAAAGTCTTAGAGAATAGCTCATCAGCTCTGTCGGAAACAGAGAGCTCACTTCGTCCTGTCTCAGTTGAGAATCAAACCGAAACGGATGAGCATGATACTGTGCAACCAGAGATGTATGTCAGGAGATCTGAACGAAGTAGTCAGCCTCCTCAAAGACTAACTTACTCTCAATTGGGCAATCCACTAGTGACCGTAGTTAGGTCCCTTTTCCAAGGACTTAATAAAGCTTTTATTGACTCTCTTACTCAAGAAGTTGTGTACCCCGTAGAAACAATGCACAGGGACGTGCATGATATTTAATGGGGGAGGATGTAACCCAGAAGCTAGAACCTTAATGAGGTATTAACTAATTGGCTTACTAATATGATCCATCCTCAATTTAGATAAAATATAAAATATAAATTAAGGAAATTAACAATACTAATTAATAGATATCTAATTAACTAATAGATAATTTCATAATGAATTATTGGAAGGGTGAATAACTAAAATAATGAGTTTAATATTAAACATCGGTTAAAACAAGAATCTTGAACATCACTAACAGAAACAGAAGAGGAAAGCTGTATACTATTGGTCCAGGTGGGAATCTGAAATTTCATTGGCTGAGAGAAATAAGTCCCGCCTCCGCGAAATAAAACCGTGCGACGCAGCTGAGCGAGAGGAGAGACAAACGGCTGTGCAGCACGCAGATACAGAAAGCAAAGACTGAGCGGTTAGAGAGAGAGAGAGAGAGAAAAAAAAAACAACGGTCGAGGCCGTGAAGAACCCTGATTTGGGTGCCGCATAGATAGAGGGAGAGGCGGACTTGACTCCTTCTAATAAGAGCTAGGAACTTGGAACCAACGCGGTGAGTAAAGAAAAAAGAAGAGAAAAAGCTAACGATGCAACTTAAAAAAAAAAAGGAAACTTAAATAGCTTATCAAATTAATTCCATTCTTATAGATTTGTGTGGAGACGACAGAGTGAACCAATCCTCTGTAGGAGGGAACCGTTGGAGCGCGTTGGTGAGTGAATGAGATTAAATTCAGTAAATTATTAAATTCAAAAAGCTAATTACAGCAACCGAGGTGACAGCAGTGGGCTGCTAGACGTTAGATCCCAGGAGTTAACATCTCAAACTACCAGTTAACGGTGGTAGGGCATATAGGAGTTAACGGCTCAAACCGCCAGTTAACGGCGGTACGGCATATGGGATTCCCAGGAGTTAACGGCTCAAACCGCCAGTTAACGGTGGTACGGCCTAGATGTACAAGGTCCTCAGGGGCGTTATAGCTAACGCCATAGAATTAGCAATGCGTCCCTTAACCAAACATTTAATAATAAAAAAAATAGATAAATAAAAATAAATAAAAGCTAACTGATTAGGGAGGAATTATTTTACAAAGGTGGACCAAAGGACCAGAATTTATATTTTGTTGAATTTTGTTATAGAACATTTTATTTATTTATTTATTTATTTATTTATTGTGTTACAGATATACAAGGTGTCACAATGCTGTATAGAAACACAACTAAATGTATCCTTGTTGTCATGAATGTATTTCTTGTTGAATAGTGTAGAGTAATAGAATCTAACTGAGCCTATTGAGCTGAACAATTGTTGTCATATGTAATTATATTTCCAGAGCTACTGAGAATTATTTTAATAGACAATCAAATTGATGTTATGTTAGTTGAACTGTGAACCCAAACATGATTGGCTATGCCAATAGAGTGAAGCATTTGTTTAAGTCTGTAAGACTTTATGCTGTGATGTGACGAGAAGGGTCGATGCCAACTCGCTAACAGTCCTGTTGTTTACAGGCTGGGTTTTTTTTTTCCTTGGGTTTGATCCCGACTCCTATGATCACTCACTTGGAACGAGAACTGGATTTCTTCCTGACGAGGGAGATGGCGAGCCTTAACCACTGAACGAACCAGGACATCTCAAGTAACTGAAGAGCAGACTGCTCTCTTCTGTGAACAATCTCAACGGTGTGGTAGGAAAAAATCGCACCACCGGACTCTGACTTTCACCCCAAGCGTGGGGATTTGACTTGACGCCGGCTGACTTGTGACTCATATGATCAAATCTCATACCGACCATTTTACTATTGTCGATTGTTTTAATCTGTTTTTGTGTGTTATCTTTATGTGTTATATTTCCCATTATTATTAAAATTTAGTATATAAACCGTTTCATGCTATACCCGTGACTCCAGTCATTCTTAAACAACCTCCAATTCTCCCCGAACCTAATTATTGGCCCATTTGTTTATTTTTTCTTTTAATTATCTTATTGTATCCTGTAATCCGGTTACAGATGCATGCCGTGGAGCTCCATGCTGCCCCCTACAGTTTGGGAGAATATTTTGGTTCACCGCAGAGACAAGCCGCATGAACCATAAATGCTGCAAGTTGTGAAGCGCATTACATCCGCAGGTCGGATGCTAATGCTACAACACTGCTAATGCCCATAAATGAACACTGTGGTCAAGTGAGCCGCACCTAGGGCTGGGGGTAAACGATTATTCTGACGATTATTTTATCAAATAGTCGACTATTCTAATGACTATTTAGACAATTAATTTAGTGATTATTTTTCTATTGCACAGTTAATAAAAACCAAAAAATCTCAAATAAATTCCTCAAAAAAATTGATAAATTGTTACCGTAAGAGAATAAACACTACAGGCCTTCCATTTTGTATAACATTGCTTTTATTGTGTTGGTTGGTTATGTTCTGGTGACGTGTAGAACTTGGGAGTGCAGGCTGCTGCCTGAGAGGTGGTTGGAGACGGAGTGTCTCCATGCTGCTTTGTTTTGGTCACTTATGTGCGTGAGGCGAGTGGTGTTACGACCCTTCCTGGGGAGTTTGGCTCGTGTGCAAAAAGGAAGGGACAATAACGGGATTTAAAAGTTAAAATGATGATCAGGTTTATTTACAACAACAAAAAACATAAATCTTTCCATCCACAGGTTGGGAATAATACAACTAATTCTACCTGTGTGGAATTGAAACAAAAGTACAAATAAGTAGTGTAACGTGAGGAAATATGGGTTTTCTGTGCCAAAGGTTGTAGTGCCCGGCTGGGACAAGAGCTGGGTCGCTCAGAACTTTCACCCACAGATTGAGACCTTTGCCGACATGAAGTCTGCAAGAGTCTGGAAGAAACCACAACATCCCACACCTGCAGTGCCAGCAGACAGAGTTCTCATGAAATCTAGTCATAACATAACAAAGTCTTAAACTTCCTTTTCTTTATTTTAAATGTTAAATACTCATTATCATTTTGCTCATTATAAATGTGTTTTAATCAAATGAGTGATTATTATGCTTTGGGTAATCATAATGAACTATAATGAATCAATACTTAAATAATGTTTGAAGATGTTATAATGACCTTCTCGCACACACACACACTCTCACAGTAAATTCAAAACACATTTGCTGATGCACACGTTTGCTTTGAGAATAGAAAGGCTTTTGGTAAGTTTTCAGTTCATGTTATTCAGTTCGAGTTTGACAACGAAAGAGAGAGGACTTGTGAACCAACACCACGGGGAAGGGAGCAGTCGGCTCCTGTCCCCCCCCAACGCTATTCCTGTCAAGTCAGACAGGATAGCTGAATTACAACCGCTATCGCAGACTCGTCCAGAGTCTTTGATTTCCTGAGTAATTTAAACTTAAGAAAGCGCATCTGCAAACGCTTCATCACGTGTACCGAGGGCAACTCTGGACCGGGTCGCCAGCACACCTTCGTCTCCTCTGCCAGCCAAGGTGTCACCTGGAGTACCACCCTCCTGGGATCCGGGTCCGAAAGGGAGTCCTGAATACGGTGAGGCAGTCCACGACCAGATAGCGTTTAATGCATCTTTTCTAATAAGAACTAAGTTTTATTCAAACCATCACTTTTCACTCAGACACCTGTTTCTTCCTGAAGCAAAATCAGACGCACACACGCATTCATATCACATCATTCTCAATCTTCACACATTCAACAAAAGGTACCATTGCTGGTGGATGAATCTTCCTTGGTTTGGGAGTAAAGCAGCTAGACCGATGGAAGTGGCGGGTTTTGTCCAGTTTGCTGAGCGCCACATGAAGCTAACCTGCTTTTGCTACCTTTCCATCCGATGCTTACCCTGCTAGCGTTAAACAGCAAAGTAAAACCTTCTAACTTGTACATGAACTTTTTCTATATGTCACAGTGAAACTTGGATTTGTAATTACAGAAAGTAAAATGTTATGTGTAGATGTGCGAAGGGGAGCCGCTACACCGTGCAGTGGAGCTAGATAAACTCTGGAATCGGTGAGCAAATCTTATGCTCTGTTATTTCAAATAAGTTTGCACTATTTTACCTGAAAAACATTAAAAATAGTTCATTGTTTATATTCTGGTTAATAACTTGCACAAAAGTCTGATTGTTGAGAAAACCAGATTTATACTTTTGCTAACTGTGAATCAGAGTTTCCAATTGTTTTTGGATGTCAAACAATATGGATAACATAGGTATTAATTTTTGATCAGGTTTATTTGCATGACAGATAATTACATGAGTGGATTACCCTGGTGACTTTGATGGTGAGCCATCTCACTTTGCAAAACATCAGCATTTACGTTTAAACTCCAGAAACAGCGAATAACAAACTGAATAGTGAACAAAGATTTAATAAAACACTTGAGTGGCAAACAAACATTTCATTTTCAACCTTTTCTTCTCCAAAAACAAAACATTTAATAAAACTGCTGCCTTTCATTTTAGTTAAGAGCTTCCAGATCAGTAGCACATTTCATTCAACACCCTTAGAAGTCCCAAAATGTATATTTTATTTATGTTCATTAATTCTGTCCTGTGTGGACTCTCATGTGAGTGTCTAAACTTGTCTTATGACTAAATCTTTGTCCGCAGAGCCCACAGGCAAAAGACTTCTGTCCTGTATGGACTCTCGTGTGAGTGTTTAAATGTGTCTTTTGGGTAAATCTTTGTCCACAGAGCTCACAAGCAAAAGGCTTCTGTCCTGTATGGACACTCATGTGTCTGTTTAAAGATGATATGCAGCTGAAACTTTTTCCACAGTCGTCACAACTAAATGATTTTAGTTTTGTCTGAACTTTCCTGCTAGAGTCTACATTTTGCTTCACTCTAACACGTTTCTTATCAACACAACAGCTTGAAGACTTCAGTCCTGAATGACTTGTCACTCTCATGTGTTTCTGGAGAGACCGCTCATGGAGAAACTGTTCACCACACTCTGGGCAGCTGAAAGATTTGACAGCCTTAACATGTGATTTAGAAGACCTGCTCTCCTTCCAGTCTTTGTTATCATCTTTGGTGTTTGGCTCAGAATCTGACAAGAGTTTCAGTTGACAGTCAGAATTGCTGCCATCCTGGTCATCATCTTCATCATTGCTGACTTCAGTCTCTGAAGAGTTAGAATCATATTCATAAAGATTTAGATCTGGATTCCTGGTAGTTTCTGCTCCTCCACAGTCCTCTCTACCACTTTCTGCTTTCATCTGGTCAGTGGTGCTGCTGGTTGGAAGATCTCTGTCTTTAGGTTGGTTCTGATCAAACTGTGACAACAGAACTTCTCTTCCTTCTTCCTTAACCTGATGAGAAACTGCAGAGAATGAAATGTTGGTGGCATCAGTTTTAATCTCATCAAGCTGCTCCTCCTCTTCCTGCTTCATGTTGAGGGGCTCCATGTCCTTCTGGTTCAAAGGAGGCCTCAGTTCTTCAGGAGCTCTTCCTTCTTCCTTAAACTGACACAAAACTACAGAGAATGAATTATCACAGTTTAAAATGAATTTAAATATAACAAATCTTTAAAATGTATTTTACTTTGAAAAACCAGTACTGCCATTTATCCCCGTGTGCGAAGGAGCCGGCTTCTGTGCGGTGCGCTGCTCTCACGAGTTAAAGAAAACTACAGGGAGAGAAAAGGTGGAAGAAAGGAACCTTACGTTAGAAGAAGGCATTTTTAGTTCAGACCTGTGAAAACCAGCTTCATGCTAACGCACGCTGCTACATGTGAACAGTAACGTAGTCAATGTGGTCTGTCGTTAATGCGTAATTCCAGATCGGTAACAGCGTACAGCTTCATGTCGGGTCATGTTCCCACCGAGACTCATTTCTGCTCGCATTTTCAGAAGAAGAGGAAGGAAGCCGAGGAAGATGTTGAGGTAACGTTAGATGAAGATGCTCATTGTTCTTTATCGTGACCCAGTTCCCTCTGAGTGATCTGTACCGTGATACGTGTGATATTCCCAACGTTCCTATTGGTGACTGAAGGGAATCTAACATGTGGCTAATATATTAGACAAGTAGGCTGAAGTGGAGGAGGTGTGTGAAGGAGAGACAAGTGGAGAGGCAGAGCAAGGAGCAGCATGATGATGGAGAGAGCAGCAGGGAAGCAGAGAATCTGGCTGGGACCCAAAATGTTCCTCCCATGGCTGTAGCACAACAGTCAAGCATTACAATTTATGTCAAGTTAAATAAATATTTTATTTTATTTTAATTAAACATGAGCTGTTTTACACACTCCTGCATTAATGTTCACCAAAAACACACAGTCTCATGTCTCAGAACGACCGTCTCCATACGTCTCTACCACCCTGCATTTAGGGGCGTGGTCCTGGTCAACACCATCTCCTGAACTCCAAACTGAAGGTCAGAATGGGAAAGAAAGGTGATTTAAGCTAATCTGAGCGTGGCATGGTTGTTGGTGCCAGACGGGCCGGTCTGAGTATTTCACAATCTGCTCAGTTACTGGGATTTTCACCCACAACCATTTCTAGGGTTTACAAAGAATGGTGTGAAAAGGGAAAAACATCCAGTATGCGGCAGTCCTGTGGGCCAAATGCCTTGTTGATGCTAGCGGTCAGAGGAGAATGGGCCGACTAATTCAAGCTGCCTTATAAGTAAAACATCTGTTGCTTCATTAAAATACAAGTGTTATCCTGTGACAGCCTCCCCGTCCAACAGGGAGGACAACGACCTTCCTCAGACCACGCTGGTCTGCGTTATCAGTTATACTCCCATGGGAAACAGCATGTTGACTGAATGCAGCTGGTTTTGTTTGAGGGAGTTGTGGTATTGTTTTTACTCCCTACGTTAAACAGCTTTCCACCTGAATCTCTACGGAGCAGTTTAGGAGTGTAATGTGATGTGTTGTGTTGTGTGTGCTTGCTAATAAAAACCCTCAGAGAACGGATGTTCCCGGAGAGATCCTGTGAACGATGCTTGGGTGTGTATTCATTTCGTCTCTCCACTTTGCAAAGTAAAATTGAACAGTAATTAGGGCTGCACAATATATCGAAAAATTATCGTCATCGCGATAACAGGACGTGCGATATGCCCATCGCAAAGCACGTCAAAAACAGCGATAAATGTTTGGTTCAACATTTCCATCCGTGTCATACATCAACTTTTTGTAAACCAGCTCTGTTTTTTACGCGGAAGTATTATTTGACCAATCAAATGTAGTCCTTCTGATATGCGGCCAATCAGATGGTTCCGTTCACGTAATACGCCCGTCCCCTACGTAGACACTAGGTGGAACGCAACACCCGAACAGAGTTTGCGGCGCTGTTCCCTTGTTCGTCATGCTGGCTCAGAGCAACGAACGCACTTTTTGCTGAGGTTTCTGGAATCAGCGCTGCTTTCAAACGTGAACGTGACTCCGCTCGGTGTCGTTAATCATTTTTACCGGGCTGACTCCGACACGTGCCGGTGAACCAACCCACCTTCGTGTCGCTAGTGTTAGCCCCAGGCTCCGGTTAGCTTCCAGCTAAAAGGCTACAGCACTCTCCTCCCAGCCCCACCCTGCTAAAGAGGGCCTGGAAAAGTTCCCCCACACATCAAAGTGATTTTTCATTTAAGAGCTTTTATAACCTTGTTAATCAGGATAGTTGATTTGCTGCTGCACATAAACTGTCAGTCAGAAGCTCTGCTAGCCGGTTATCTTCGAGGAGCTAGTTCACTTTGTTAGCTTGTTATCAGAATCATAGTTGCAGTTTCATCATCTGAGCTGCTTTTTAACATCTAGGTAAACTTGTTCAATTTGGGTTTAAAAACAAACGTTTTCACATATTTTACATGTAGTTTTTTGCCAGTTCCTCTTCTGAAAGGTAGACAATTGTTTTTCTCTTTCCCTCAGAAAATCTTAATATTCTCCTAGTTTGGCCCAGCACAGTTCACTTCCCAGTTACAGCAACAGCCTTATATCATAACCACATAAGTGGAGAACATGTTCAGTAGCAATGAGAGAATTAGCTGTTGCATTTAAGTGATGTTAACTATTATTTAACATTTAAACTTATTTTCTGATTTTTTTATTTATTCAAATTCAAAAACCCTGGTAAGGGATGTTTTTCTGTATTTGGAGCATTAGAAAAAGTTTTATGGTGGAGGTGATGTTTTAAAGTCACTGAGAAACTGCATGCTAGCAGTTTGTTGTTTTGCTGCTAATACAGTAGCAGGTGCAGCTGCTAATACAGTAGCAGGTGCAGCTGCTAATACAGTAGCAGGTGCAGCTGCTAATACAGTAGCGGGTGCAGCTGCTAATGCGGTAGCAGGTGCAGCTGCTAATACAGTAGCGGGTGCAGCTGCTAATGCGGTAGCAGGTGCAGCTGCTAATACAGTAGCGGGTGCAGCTGCTAATACAGTAGCAGGTGCAGCTGCTAATACGGCAGCGGGTGCAGCTGCTAATACAGTAGCGGGTGCAGCTGCTAATACAGCAGCAGGTGCAGCTGCTAATACAGTAGCGGGTGCAGCTGCTAATACAGCAGCAGGTGCAGCTGCTAATACGGCAGCGGGTGCAGCTGCTAATACAGTAGCGGGTGCAGCTGCTAATACAGTAGCAGGAGCAGCTGCTAATACAGTAGCGGGTGCAGCTGCTAATACAGCAGCAGGTGCAGCTGCTAATACAGTAGCGGGTGCAGCTGCTAATACAGCAGCAGGTGCAGCTGCTAATACGGCAGCGGGTGCAGCTGCTAATACAGTAGCGGGTGCAGCTGCTAATACAGTAGCAGGAGCAGCTGCTAATACAGTAGCAGGAGCAGCTGCTAATACAGTAGCAGGTACAGCTGCTAATACAGCAGCAGGTGCAGCTGCTAATACGGCAGCGGGTGCAGCTGCTAATGCAGTAGCAGGAGCAGCTGCTAATACAGTAGCAGGAGCAGCTGCTAATACAGTAGCAGGTACAGCTGCTAATACAGTAGCAGGAGCAGCTGCTAATACAGTAGCAGGAGCAGCTGCTAATACAGTAGCAGGAGCAGCTGCTAATACAGTAGCAGGAGCAGCTGCTAATACAGTAGCAGGTACAGCTGCTAATACAGTAGCAGGAGCAGCTGCTAATACAGTAGCAGGAGCAGCTGCTAATACAGTAGCAGGTGCAGCTGCATATTTTAGCAATAAAAATGTTATGTTGTAATGGAATTCATGCATTAGTTTTTGTTTGCTTTGAACCCAGAGCAGACGTCACACGCCAGACGACATCAACACTGCATACTTTAGTATTTGTTCATTTATCGCGAGTAATATCGATATCGCAACATTAAGCACTGTTATCGAATATCGCAGGTTTTCCTAATATCGTGCAGCCCTAGCCCCTACACTATTCAAACCTGTTCTACACTATTCTACAATAGCAGATTGGATACAACCTTGTTTGGGATTTGTGAAACCTTTCCCTGATTTGTGAAACGTCAAAGCCTTAAATCGGTCTGCGCATGCCCCATAGTAGCACATGTCAACAAGCACGGATAGTCCGACTATCTTAAATATTATTGTAGAATAATCTAGAACAGGCTTGAACAGTGTGGCCAGGGGCGCCGTAAAGCGGTGAAAGATTAGGAAGATTCTAAGGGCCCACAGCTGTCAGGGGCCCAAAAAAGTTTCTAAGTCGAATAAAAAAAAATAAAGTTTAAAAATCACAAGTACTTTACTTTGTAGTCAGGGTCCAAAATTAACACTCGCCAAATGCGAGTAAATTGCTCCATTTGGCGAGTAAATTTTTGAGCTCTACCTGCCACCTGGCGAGTAAATGTTTGCACCAAATTAGTTATGTTTATCAGTCATCTTCCATGGATTTCTGATACTCCTCCCGCCTGCATGCAACGTACACAAAACGTGAGCGCCTCATCCAACGTCATTTCCACCTATCCCATTCAATCAGTCTATCAAGTTAGCAGTTAGCTTCGTGTTAAAATTAGCCGTGAAATGTGGCGGTTTTTAACCGGAGTCAGCCAGCCTTCCAAAAGAAAACTGAACTGGAAGAAAAACCACCAGGACCAGTGGCAACCAGAAGATTTTGTGAAAAGTGGCGAACCGGAGATGGCGGAGTCGTGAGACAGGCTACATTATGATGGCCACGTAGCGTTGCTGCCTTTCACAGACAACTGGCCCTCGGCATTCTTCAAATATCCAAAAAATGCCCATACTTCCTTCTTTGAGGGATAATAAATGTCCCGAGTGCTAAGGTGTGCATGTGCCGCTGGCAACTTTAGCAGATGATACGGTGGCTGGTAAGGGTCACCGCGCCTACACCGCAGCCACGGTAATCCACCGAGATAATTATTATTTTTTAAAAACAAGACGGTTATTATTATTGTCAGCTTTTTTACCGGGGTTGTTTTTCTTATTAATTGATGTTTTAATTATTTTGTCACTCTGTTTGGAACCAACATAATATAGAATAACATGCTTTAGGTAGATCTAAATCATTTAGAATTTTGGCCGGTAAAAAATATGCTTGGCTGGTAGATTTTCATCATCTACCAGCCAACTTGGCCGGTGAGTAAAAAATTTAATTTCTGACCCTCTTGACAGGATTTTTTCTCATTTAAGACATTAAACAAACAATCTTTTAGTCTTTATGAAATGTATATTTATTCAGAGTTCCCTACTTTATTTTGACTAATTAATTTGGCATAAAATGGTACAGTCCACCGGGCCGAGGGGCGCGTAGCAGGCGAGACTAGCAGTTAGACAGCCGAGTGTGTCAAGGCTGCAGTAAAAATATGTCTGCAAAAACAAAGTCTGGGTCACAGAAAAGGAAAGAAAGAAAGGAGAAAGAGGACAGGCAGAAGAGAGGGCGTCAGTATGTCACACAGTTTTTCTCAAAGAAAGGTGGGTTTAGTTAGTGAGTGGTTAAACTCAACCTGTTAGCTAGCTCTGATATCCACAGTGAGAGGAACTATGTTTCATCTAATTATGGTAAATGGGTTGTTGTCCTTGTCCCTACCAGAATCAGCAGCTGATATGTCAGCAGGTGTCCCCTCACCACCCAATAGGGATGAGCCGGATACTCGTTTCAGATGAGTATCCGGTACGGATAAAGCATTTTTGACGAATACGAGCATGAAACGAGTAAACCTCGTAAATATCTGCAATCGTGCTGAAGGAAAATCCTCATTGGTTAACTGACTATCTTCACACTCTGTGATTGGCCAGTCACATAGAGCACCCGCCCCTTCGTACACACAAAACTCTCTAGCCGGCCGGGAGGGCAGTCCGTCCGGTTCATCCACGCACACACAGACAGACAGTAACGGATCTCGCTGTGATTGCTTCACTGTTGCTCACGTTTCTTCAGTTTTCCCTAGGTTTTCTTCAGCTCGCCTCTTTTTCGGTTGAATATTTAGGCCCGAGCAGCGAAAGCGCTGCGAAGGCCTCTTGTTTTTGCTCTGATTAGGCCCGAGCAGCGAAAGCGCTGCGAAGGCCTCTTGTTTTTGCTCTGTTTATTATTTTTCTTTATTATTATTTTTTGTTATTCTCGTGCCCCTTTGAACGGCTTTTTGGGGACCTTAGCATACCCCAAAACTCACAATATTTTGCAAACTTGTCAGGCCTGGTGAAAAATTTGATATTTTAAAGGTCCCAAAAAAATCGCACAGAAAATGACTGAACAGCGCCCCCTAGAAAGTGAAAAAAAACCCTCTCCATAAAGCTTAGTTTATCGTACAGTTATGAAATTTGGTACACTTGTAGTACTCAATAGTCCGCACAGAAAAGTCTCTTGCAAGCATGGTCAATATCAAACAGGAAGTCGGCCATTTTGGGTTGAAATGGCGATTTTTTGCCGTTTTTGCCGTTTTTAGGGTCCGTTGCTGATTGGATTGCTCGATCATTTTTCGCACGATCGTCTCAAAAATTGTGTAAAATTGCTAAGAAGGGATGGGCGAACAAAATGAGATGAGAATTCTGAGTTTTCGTATATGTTGAAGGGGCGGGGCCAGGCCTCGAAGTTTGACTACTCGCCAAAAATATTTAAATTGCTATAACTTCATAACTGAATAGAATAGAGTTACCAAACTTTCTGTGGTCATTCGTCATCCACCCACAAAGTTAATTGAATGGTCGGATGATGACATCACACAAGCCCCGCCCCCTCAGGACCAAAAAGATCAAGTTTTACTGTGAAAGGTCCCAAATTGCCCCATTTCACTTAATCACCACAAATTTGTAGCTGGTAACTCAAGACAAGTGGGGGTTGCTTGGCGTCACTTTATGGGAGTTTTCGGCAGAGGGCGGGGCTGTGGCGGCGCGGCGAATTCAGGCGTACCGCCGTGGCCTTACGTTTGCCTCCCATTTCGTCATTTCCAAAGATATCGTCACGAAACTTCTTGTGAGTGATCCTAGTCCGGCCCCCCAAAAGATCTAATGTGAACATCTGGTGGGCGTGGCCTATTTTCTGAAATAGCGCCCCCTAGGACCATTAAAACTGTCAGCCCCAAGCCATGCTTTGACTGAGGATTACGAAATTTGGTACACTAATGTGGTGTCTCAGGACCTACAAAAAAGTCTCTTGGAGCCAAGTGCAAAG